ACATAATCCAGGGACATTTCTGTGGCAATACCTCTGAATGCAATGAAAACACCAAAAATATTTGAGACTGAGAGGCAGAAGAAATTTTTTTTCTGAGGTTTGTTAATACAGAAAATCTGCAATGCTTAGACGACAGAACTGCAGGGCTGACGTGGTCGGTGCTGACTCAGGGATTGCTGTGCCATGTTGCATTTTGTGGTGTGGTTGTCTCCGCAATCCCCTCGAAAAATTAAATCCCAACTGCTTTAGTTCTGCACGTGAAGCTTCCCATAAGGAGTGGAAGCAATTTTGGAGATTTCAAAATGCTTTGGAGAAGACAGTCAGTGCTGGGTATGACACCCAGCTGAGAGAGATACACTGGGGTCAAGCAACAAAAATGTTCTTCCCTCCCCATATTTTCATTTTCTCAGAGAAAGAGAAGCCTCCAAATTCTAAAACTAAACCAAACAAGGGGAAAAAAAAAATAAAAACCAAAAAACCAACCAACAAAACAACAAAACTGCTAAACTTTCTATTTCTTTCATAGAAAGAAAAGAGATGAGGCCAAATTCACCCCTGGCAGGTAACACCGCTGTCTTTAAGAAGCTGGGTGTGGAACTGATGGGGCCCATCTGAACCATCTGTTCAGCTAAAGGAGAGGTTGGATAGCAGCATGTGAGAGGATGGAATTAAGGTCCTTTTTCACTTGTATTTTTTACATCTGTTACTTTGTTGGGTGACGTCTTGTCCCTTTTCCCCTGTCCTGCCAGACACACCCCTGGTACAAACCATCTGCCTGAGGACAAACCTCACCAGTGGACACTGAAGGGAAGGACACCAGGGAGCATGGAGGTGAGGATGGATAGCTCCCATTTGTGGGAAATGAATGCTGTTTTCCTTTTGATTATAAACTGGAGCATTACACCAAGGTGGGGGAGAAGGTTTGACAGAAAACCTTGTCCAGAGAAGTGCCCAATTCAATTGCCTACACAAAGATATCTTGGGTCATTTTGGACACCCAGCGGTCTCTGACTGCCCAGATCTGTGGGTCTGTAAGATCTGTGGTTCATAAATCTGTGGGATTTATGATCTGTGTGGGTCTTAGGCCATTGAAACAACATCTGGCCAATAGGACATTGTAGGGCACCTGTAATATGTCACCAGATGTTGATATTATTGAGTGAAATGCCAAGACCCTTCCATGAGTAATATCCTACAGTTTTCCCAGGAGAACCTGAGGCAGAAGGCAGCTCTGGGTGGTATTCAGACCATCTCCTGTAGGGAAGGAAGGCACCTCACTCACCACTGACTGAATTTTTTCTCACTGGTGCAGTGGAAACCCTGACTCGAGACACCCGGTGCAGGCAGCAGAGAGGGATCTCAGTTTTCCAAAGACACCTCCCAAATTCATGTGTAGCAGTGAGCAATGGCCCAAGCCCCCTCTCCAAAACCCTGGGGTCAGCCACAGGCCCAGCTCCCAGACCCCTGACAGGCTCTTTTCCCCCCTCAGGGATGGGCAGAGTCAGACCCAGGACTGGAACCCCCGGGTGCCCTTGGGGTGATGAACAGAATTCACGCAGGCGTTTTTCATTGACTTTAGTAGCAGCTGCTCAACCCCTTACATCGTATCATCACAGAGATGATTAATTACATAACAAACCCAAACAAGCACCCACAGGCTTCGTTAAAATCCCCTTGAATGAGGGGGGAGGAGTCCCCAGCCACTGAGCTGGTTCAAGCCTGACCCCATTTTGGAGGGAAGGAGCACAGCTTCCAGCCCATCTCAGATGATGATCAGGTTGTAGCTTCACCTCCTTGACTCATGGTGGATTTCACATCATCAGTCTGGACCCATGGAAGAGCTCATCGTCTACTGTGAGCTCAGCAGCTGAAGTCAGAGATACACCCAGAGGGCATTTAACCAAACACAACCTAGGTACCATCCTAAGTACAATGAATCACCTTCTGGATTTGTTTCTTGCCATTGATCCCAGCAGAAAATTAGATAAATAGCTTAGACCGGATGAAGTAACTCCCACTGTTCCAGTCAAAATTTGTTCACCTCTAGAGGCAATTGCTCAGCAAATGCCCAGTTTCAATTTTTTTTCCCCTTGCTTCCCAAAAAGCTTCACCTGCTGGTGATGCTGGGCTTGTTCTGGTGCAAAAGCAGAAGTGGTGGATGTGAACATGCTGTGGATGGGATGGGGCCAGATTCCAGCTCCCACACATGGGAGCCAAATCCTCCAACCCATTTCTTCACTGGTGTGGTATAAAAGAAGGAGTTTGAAACCACTTGGCTTAAAAATCTAAGGGTAAAACCAGTAGTGGATGTGACCCCGCTGAAGTCAATGGATTGAAGGGACTGTGGCCTGCAATGATTTGAATTTTCACTGTTGTGTCACCATTTATTGACAGAAGTTCCTGGTAGGACGTGTCTGACATCTCTCACTGGCTGCTTGCAAGTGGCTGCTTGCACTGCATCATATTAAGTAAATCAGATGTATCTTCCCTTATCCCATCTTCTCCAATTTATCAATGTCTTCCACCCCTTATGTGGCTTTCTGAAGCATTTGCTTTCTTGACAGATTGTGTTTGAATGTTGGTTATAGGTCCAATTTCCCCCTGCAGTGGCTTCCTTCTCTATTTCCCATGATTAAGTTTTCCTTTTCTCCAAGACTGCACTATGAAAATCAGTCATGCATCCATTAACTTATCTTTATTTAAGTTTTCAGTGACTTATTGCCTTCTCCACGTGGTGTGTGGCCATCGATGGGATGCAGTGCTTACATGGACAGATGTCACATTGATGTCACATTGATTTTCTCCCCATATTTTCTTTGCTTCTCTTGATCTCCTCTCTCCTTCTGCTCTCATTTCACTGCAGCTTTTTTTTTTTTTTTTTTTTTTTTTTTTTTTTGCAAAGCACTGATAGAAGTGCCTCTATCAATAAGCAAATCTTGCTTGTGCCCGTGGGCACAGCCCTGAGACAAATGGGTGATGCATAACCAGCCTAGGAGTAGTCCCAGGAGACGCGGTGACTCAGAGCCAGCCCTCCGAGGCATCATTTCCTCCTGTTTTCTCTCTGATGGGATTAAGCTCTGTTTGTTCCCTTCTTCTTCTGCGTACTCCCTCCTTTGGTTCCTGGGAAAAGTCTGACACGCAGAGAGGAGCGCTCTGATTTCTCTACAGAGATTTCCAGGAGTGAACCAGCCAGTGGCCGTGATTACATTGCCACGAAATGGGAATTAACTCATGCCCTGTTTCCCTTCCTGTGCTGAAGAGACAGAATAAACACCCATTTGTTGTCCTTTTTCCAGGACAGGAACCCAAAAGCAGGGGTAAGGCAAAGAGGACACAGGGCAAGTACATCTGGAGCTAAAACAGGCTGCAACTCCATGCTTGGTTCACCCCTCATTTATCCCAGTATTGCCTAGGGATAACCCAAGCAGGGTTACCGTGCTGTAAATACCAAGGTGGTGGGCTGAGCTCATGCCTGATATCCTGAAGGAAGTCCTGATGCTCATGGAGGAGGTGAGACCTGTTTCTGTAAACTGTGATCCTGATCTGGAATTGGAAGCAGAGCAACATGCAAAGATGAGGAGTCAGGGGTGAGCAGCAGAGATGGGCCAGCACTGCAAAGCTGGGATTCGGCTCTGTGTCCAAACTTACCCAAATTCTGGGCTGGTTCAGACTCTGGGTTTTGTCCACTTTAATTTGTGCTACTTTTACAGGTGGGAATGGCTGTAGGAATTAGCTGTGGAACAAGGTTTGGCTTGAGTCTGGGACTGCTCTGGCTTGAGGGGTGTGGTGGTGATGGTGGGTTGGTTCACCCTCATGTCAGTCAGTGGGTGACAATGGCTCCTTCAGATCCATGTTCCCGAGAGACCTGTGGGCTCAGGCTGCTGCCAAGTGCCTGAGAAGCCTGCATCAGGCGCAGAGAGTGGAAGAACTAAGTGCCCTTCCCACTGCTGGTGCCACACCTCCTTGACCAGGCAGGAAGGGTGAACACTTTCCCTTCCCATCCTTTCCCTGGGGTGCTGAGGAGATGGATGTCCTGTGCTCAGGAGTGAGTGTCCAGCCCCAGAGAATCACTGCACCGCATGTTTCCAAGGAAGACTCACTGGCTGAGCCACGTCCCAGGCTGGAGAGCTGGAGCAGCATTCCCACTTGTGGGACTGTGTCCTTCTCAATGCACACAGAGTCCTCTTCACTTCACACACAAGACACTGAACTTTTCCACACTGTGCACATCACCTGTGTGCCAACAGGGCGCTTACAGGAAGTCATCAGCAGTTTTCTCTCTTTCTCTCCCTCCTCTTCTCCCTCCTTTCCTTTCCACAGATGTCACGGGATCCTACGTCAAATCTGGCAGAAGCTACTATGCTAAGAAGTTCACATCAAGAGCTTGTCCACTCTCCAGCTCTGTTAAATATTTGTAGACTTCTCTGGTTCCAAGGCAAAAGCAAAAAAGTAGTCATGTTCTTTATATCAAAAAAAAAAATTCCTTAATTTATCCACTTTTATTTCTTTTGCTGCTGTTGCTCATATTACACAGTCTGGCCATTTGGGTTTGCAGAGAGATCTCTCAGAAAGCTCAATGCTGCTGTTCAGCACAGCTTCTGCCTGGCTGAGGGAAAAGGAGATGCTGAGGAAGATGCAAGTCTTTCAAAGGACACTTAATCACATGAGTCACTTCAGGTGGGTGGGAGCAGAGCAAATCCATGCTTTTGCTGTTCTCTTCTTTCCAGCTCGGTGTTGTGGGCTGGTGGAAAAAGCTGCTCTCCTTCCGGAGGCATTGGCGTCGGGGCAGAACTTGTGTGACTGCCAGATGTACCTCGGGATAGCCCAGAAGTCATTAGACCTATTCTATCCAACCAGTTTTAGCCTTTTTATTTTTTATTTTTTTGTCCAGTTTTTATTCTTTTAATATCAAAAAAAGTAGACTTCTCTCACGTCTGCAACCTCAGAGGAAGTAGGCTCAAAATCCATTTCTCCACTCGGAGCCCGGGCCAAGGGTTTTATGCCTGATTTATTTGCACGTGTGGACGTCGTAGACTCGTATGCACTCCTGGCAGCGGACGTAGCAGCACCAGTGGAAGATACAGTGACACTTCTCTTTCCGTTTCTCAGTCCTCGTGTTGTGCCCGCGGCCGCAGCACAAAAGGTCGCAACCGTCAATCCCGTGGGAAGTGACGTTGCAGATCCTGTCGCGGGTCCCAAAGGAGCCTGTCTCAGGGTTGGGCTCGCAAAAGTTTGGCGAGTTCTCGTAGTAAACCAGGTCCTTCTCAGTGGGGGCCTTGAAGAAGTTGTATTTGGGCCGGAGGGTCTCCACCCAGCCGCGGGATTCCCGGTGTTTTTCCACCACCATTTCGGACGCGCTGTCGTACTTGTCCTTGAGGTAGTCGCCGATGACCCTGAAGTCTGGCTGGGACCACCAGCAGGTCTTCACTTCACAGCTGCCCGAGAGCCCGTGGCACTTGCACTTGAGGTGCATGAGCTCAATGATAGACTGCAAAAGAGAAGAAAGGCAAAGGAGAAGGAACACATAATTAACCTGTAATTGAAACTCTTATGACATTCTGCCACTTGGCCATGATTTTCCAAGGAATTATGGATGTTTTCATAGATATATTTATACTCTTGTGAACAAAAATCCCCTTATCCCCCGCTCACTGCTGGGTCTAAGCCATAAAACTTCTGTACTTTATGGTTTTCAGTGACTGGTTCTGATTCCCAGCTCAAATTTAAGCATTTACCAAAAACTTTCACCAAGAAGATTTATTAACTTCTGCCTTATCAATGCTCATGTGGGTATATTACAGTGCTGTCACACAGGAAAAGAATTCAAACACATCTAGGCAGAGAAGCAAAGAACACATAAAGCTACTCAAACAATGCCTTCATAAATGAAAACAGCAGCTTTTCTGTTGGAAATAAAAGGAAGATGAAATGTCCTAACTATCTAGACCAGAACTCCATCCTTTACATATGTTTCGTGTTTACTTAAGCAAACAAGGTTCAAGCCTTGCTATGGCTCCTTTCAGAAACTGAAAAGGGATTTGTTTTTATTTTAAAGCCAGGGTTATGATTTTTCTAAAATCACTTCAAAGGAAAAAAAAAGTAAGAGCCCTACTTTTGATTTCAAAGGCTCAGGCTTCAACACAAAGCACTTTCCTGGGATAAATGGTGATTATTGATCCCAGAAGCTCGCTACTTGTTTTTACCTCTTATATAACAAGTTAAATAAATAGAGGTGTTGCCCTCCAGTACTCTGAGGTGGGAGACAACCTTATGCAACAGCTTGATAATCTGCATTTTCAGAGCGATCAGCAAATTTCTGGGTACGTGAACAGGCGAGTGCCAGCCTGAGTCCAAGAGATTTGCCATGAATCAGCACCTTGGTGCTCACCAGGTGTTTTCCTGTGTTATTTACGGAGTATCACCTTCCACATAGCAGGTTGCAATTAGCGAGGAGAGAGAACCGCAGAAGGTTTGGTTCGTATAATCACGCTGAACTTAATCAAAACTCCTGGCAGAGCGGTAGGGTTGGAGTTCCAATGGGAACTAATCTGAAACATTGCCCATGGCTCAGGTTTAGCTGGGAACACTCGAGTATGGAGGCCTGGAAGAGCTGTCCCATGGGTGCTGGCGTGGTGAGAATGGAAAACCCCCAGTTTTCTAAAACAGGTAATGGTGTGACATCTGCCCTCTAACCTCTGACACCTGTAAAATGTCCTAAAATAAGAGTTAAGGAACAAGGCTTAGAGTAAAAAGACCTTTGCAGGCCTGTGAACACAGGGATGTTTGTTTTTTTAACAAGGATTCTCACTTTAAAACAAATTCTCACTTTAAAGGAAAGCCCTCCTTTCCAGTCCACACAGCTTCTCCTCAGCCCTCTTTTTCCCACCATCTATCCCAGTAACTGCCACCAGCACTGCCCCATCCCTGGGGGTGCCTGGGCTAATTTAGGCCAGAGCTGGAGGAAACCACATTATTGCTTGTGGTCATCTCCATTGCAGACAATTTTGGTTTCTGGTGGTATTTCCCTTTCAAAAGTTGTATTCCAGCAGCTCTGCTGTGGTGTGAGGTGGGATAACACCACTGGGAATTCACAGTATTCACTTCAGGAGCCCTCAAGAAACCCCAGCCTGCCTGAGGATGTGTCCCAGCACAGCAACTGTGGTGGCTTTGGTACAGCTCACTGCACAAATGTCCTCCTGGATATGTGCAAGACCTGCTGTTGGGACAAGACCACATTAACCTGTTCTCTCTTTTCCCAGAGAAGCTGTGGCATAATCTCTGTTAGAAAGGGCTTTGTGGTTCAGTTCTACAAATTGTTTCCCTCAGTTTCTACAACTGTTTCCCAATTACATTCTTCTGGATTTATGGGCTATTCCTGAGATAAAAAAAAAAAGAAAAAAAAGGAATGTCCCCCTTTTGGGATTATTCCACCTGGGGAAAATATTGTGTATAAGGCAGATTTTGTGCTTTCTTTTCCCCTACACGTTTTGTTCCAGAATTGTTTGAAGTAAAAACAGCTTCAGGGCATGATCCAAGTTTAATCAGGAGGCACCAGAGTTATATTGCCTCTAATTTTGCTTAAATATTTCCTGGGAAATAGAACAGGGTTGAGAAGATGGGTTGTGGGAAATGCTCTCCTGCTCTTCTCCTCCCTCAAGGCGGCAGAGAAGGGGAATGGACAATTGCACTCAAACTTCAGGTGCCCCACAGTCAATGGAAGGGAACAGGCACAATTAGGACATTATTAACTAAATTAATAACTCTAATAATGGAATCACAGAATGATTTGGGTTGGAAGGGATCTTAAAAATCGCTCAGTTCCAACTAGCCTGGGATGGGCAGGGACACCTTCTGCTAGCCCTGTCCAGCCTGGCCTTGGGCACTACCAGGAATGGGGCATCCACAACTTCTGGGGGTAGATATCCTTATAAAATGGGATGAAATCCCATCCTCAGCCTGCCTTGATCCATCCTCTATAAAAGAGATCTGGACAGCTGACTCCAAGGCAGGCGTTTACGTCTGTGTGGGTGAATTTATGTGGACCAGACCAGGCACGTTGATTTAGAACTATCACAGGACAGGTATTACCATCTTGTGACATAAATTTGCCCAGATTTAGCTCTTTCGAGCCTCCTTAATCCCCTCCCACCATCCACCCTATGAGGTAACAAAACAGCAACAGGAAAGGAGAAACTGAAATGTCCTTACAGTCCTTCCAGCTTCGTTGTTGTGCCTGTTCATGGCCGAGCGAGCGTCGGGCCTGTTCTCCCGCGCGTCCGCGAACTCCCGGGACACCATGCTCCCGAACTCCACGTCCTCGCTGCAGCCGCCCCACTTCCAGCCCTCGCCAGGAGAGCCCTTGTGGCGCGTGTCACACCCGCAGATGGTGGCCGAGCCCTCGGCGCAGGATCTGGTCACGGCAAAAGCCACCCCGGCGGAGGCGATGGCGTGGACAAAGGCCGACTCCCTGGTGGCTGTGAGAGAGAGAAGTCAGTGAGGAAGGGCCAGTGAAGGATGGATTTGGTCAGTACTGTGAGCATTTTCTCCGGAGGGCATGGCAGAAGGCCAGGGAATCCTCCTTTTCCCTGTGGTCTGGCTTGGACCTTCTCCAAAGACGTTTTCTTCTGCTAGGAAACGAGCTCCTGCACAGACAGGACCAGGCTTGATTCAAGGCCACTGAAGTCAGCCAAAAAGTTCTGACTAGGGTCATCCTCAGGTCTTTGGATAGGGCCATGGCACCACAGACAGCTGTGCAAACCTGAATTTCAGGGGGCACATGGAATATTCTATGTGGTACTGTGCAGCCAACGCACCACATAGCCAGAGCCTGAGCCGTGGGCTTCGCTTCAGAATTTGGGTATGTTCCCAAAAAAATTAAAAATACAGGTTTACACCTAACAACAGCCTCATGCTTTACCTGGTGGTGGGGCCAGCACCAGGTAAAGCTCCTCTTCCTTGACAGGGAGAGATGATGGTGGCTGGAAGGTAGGAAAATGCCTCAATCCTCAGGATGCAAACCAAACATTGTCCCCTCCCTCCATCCCTTTTTCCCTGAGGCTGTGCCCCTCACTGGGTGACAGGAGCACCTTGCACCTGCCCCCAGTTTTCCTCACTTGCCTAATCAAGGTAACTGCCGAGGGGACTGGGAATAAGCTTTCCTTTTGTGCCCATTGCCTCGGGCTGGAAGGTGGGATCAGCCACAAGATGTCATGGCTAAGGACTGAAGAGTTTTGGTCTTTGTGGAGAACTTCTCTCACAGCCTTCCATCCCACGGAGAGCTGGGCAGGGAAGGGGAGCAGGGAACGCTTTCCTGGATGCCAGAGCTTTTTCCACACTGTGCCAAAATGAAAACCAAACTTTTCCAACTGCTTTGCAAGTGGGGCGTACCCCAAGACATCAATTTTTATTTCCCTTTCTCCTTGCAGTTTTGATTTCTCCACTCACAAGAAATGACCCCGCAGCTCAATACCACACCTCAGAAAACACCAGTGCTTTTTGGCTGCAGTAAAATGGGATTTTTACCATGAAGAGGGCTGTTCTCAAATCCTTGGGGCAATTCTAAGCAGGTACAAAGACTCTGACGACAGGCCTCCCTTAACCTCATGTATTATTTCCCACTCACCTTGTGCATATAGAGCAGTTATCCTAGAAATTGTGTTGTCCCTGACACTTTTCAGATGATTCCACTGAGACATTGAAATATTAATGGATCCATAAAGTCACAAGGTCACATTTTCAGTTGATGCAACTTCACCAAAGCTTCTTCTGAGCTTTGTATCACCTGACTACTCAAAAACCACTCAAACCTTCCCTGCACCGTGTTTTGCTGATCTGAGCTTTCCTTGGGCATTTTGGCTTAACCTTTGCCTTCCAGATGCTTCCAGGCTTTACTAATGTGAAGAGAGTTTCATGCACCAAGCCAAAAAGCCAACATGTTTACGGGGAGCAAACACAACTGCAGAGCAATCCTGGCTGGATTTTAGGCTTAAGCAAGAACTCAAGCTTTGCTTTGGGAAGGCTACCAAATACAACAATATGCAAATCCCATAACGTGCATGAACTTACAGGCTGAAGGGATGAGCAATGTCCTGGAACATGTTTGTCAGGGCACTTGGGGAGGTTATTAAGTCACTGAGGGCTACAACCAAAAAAAAAAAAAAAAAGAAAAGGAAAATGTAGGAACCCTCAGGTCCCCAGTGTGATTTTGAAAAACCCTTGTTCAGCATCCTGCAAATGATGACCATGCAGTTCTTGATTGTGAAAGCTCAGCTTAGAGCATGAACAGGAGAGTCCCGTTCACACAGGACTGGCGACTCTGCATCTTGAGCTTGCCTAAGTCCAGGTGGGATCCAGAAACCAGATTTTGGGGGTGGAGCACTTCATATGAGGTCTCCAAGAACATTTCTGACCAGCCCTGGAGTCTCTGAAGAATGAAAGGCTTCTCACAAAAGCCAGTGAGGTGAGGTGGTGGGGTGGATGCCATCACAATCTGTAGGGTGGTGGAAGGTGCAGTGTTTGGCCAGAGAAAGGCTGACACACCTCCCACATCCTCCCAGTGATCTTAAAACCTTCCTATAAAATCACAGAATGGTTGGATTGGAAGGTCCTTAAAGGTCATGTGGTTCCAGCATTCCCAGTTTTCCTACTCAGGGCTGCTTTCACCCCGTTCTCCACCCAGCCTGTGTTTGGGATTGGGATTGGCCTGACCCTTGTGCAGGACTGTGAGAACTGGATTTGGTAAAGGATTCTCAAAACTGACTGAAAGCTCACACAGCCTTGCACACCTGTATGCAAACTCTGAAATAAGGTGTGCTGGCTTAGGAAGGCCATGGAATGGAGATGACATTGCTGAGAGATTGAGCTAGGAACAAGTTTCAAAAGATGGCCTTGCAAAAAGACCAGATATTTCAGAGGATTACAACTGTGAAAGATGCATTGTAGCGAGACCATGTGGGGCAGAATGATAGGTGATTATAGGTGATTAAAATAATAGGTGATTGGTGTTAGAAGTATTAGCAGCATTGCCTGGCAAAAGCTAATAGGCTGAAAAACATTTATAAGGTATTGCAACCAGGAAATAGGTTGGCTTCTGATGGATTGGTGCTGAGTTTTACATCTCTTATGTCTCACCCTTCATCGAGACTGGTAATGGAATAAAATCTTTTGAAAGGCCTCTCAGTTGCCCTGTCTCTGGGATTTTCCAACACAGGACCTTGCACTTGGCCTTGCTGAGCTTCATGAGGTTTGCACAGACCCACATCTCCATCCCTTCCCTCCAGCATGTGCCTGCACCACTCAGCCTGGTCAGCAGCAAACCTCCTGAGAGTGCCTGGATCCCACTGTCCTTGTCACCAACAAACCCCCTGAGAGTGCCTGGATCCCACTGTCCTTGTCACCAACAAACCCCCTGAGAGTGCCTGGATCCCACTGTCCTTGTCACCAACAAGCAGTGGCAGCCCCAACCCCAAGGAACACCACTGCACCTCCTGGAGTGCCACCACACAGATAATTCCTGACCCACCAAGTGGCCCATCCATCAAATCCAGGTATCTCCAATTCAGAGACTAGGATGATGTTCTTCCCTAAAGCACGTTCCTTGGTCAGGCCAGCTCTCATCTCTTGGGAATCACCCTTCCCTCTGCCCAGAAGAGATCTGATCCAGGCCTTTGGCTTATTGGGAAGGAGCTGTAGGAGCTGAACTGGTGTTTGCAAACCCTGGGGCGACCCCCTGTGCCTTGCCAAGCTCGGACCAAAAAGAAAATGTCTACAGCTGTGGTGTTTGTGCAGGAAAACTTCTCCTGTGTGGGTGTGAGAGGGGTGGCCTCAGCTGGGGAATCCATGGCTTGTGGATCCCAGCTTGGATTGAGCAGGAGCCACCAGCTCAGTGGTGTTTCCCTGTGCATTCCCCTCACTACAAGAAAGACATGGAGGGGCTGGAGCGTGTCCAGGGAAGGGAATGGAGCTGGGAAGGGTCTGGAGCCCCAGGGGAGGCTGAGGGAGCTGGGAAGGGGCTCAGCCTGGAGCAAAGGAGGCTCAGGGGGGACCTTGTGGCTCTGCACAGCTCCTGCCAGGAGGGGACAGCCGGGGGGGGGTCGGGCTGTGCTCCAGGGAACAGGGACAGGAGGAGAGGGAACAGCCTCAAGTTGTGTCAAGGATTGGATATTAGGGAAAATTGAATATTTGGGTTGAATATTAGGGAAATTTTCTTCACTGAAAGGGTTGTCAGGAACTGGCACAGCTGCCCGGGGCAGTGGTGGAGTCACCTGGAGGGATTTAAAGGATATGGCACTTGGGAACATGGGTTACCAGTGGATGTGGCAGTGCTGGGTTTGGGCTCAGTGACCTTGTTGGTCTTTTCCAGCCTTAAGGATTCTACAATCCAGTGGCTCTGTCCAGGTGCAGAGCTCAAACCCCACGGAGCTTCAGGCAGCACAGCCTGGAGAATTCCCGTGTTTGCCAGGACTTGGCCACAGCCCAACAAGCCGTTCCAGCAGTTCTTTGGCTGTAGAGACCAAACCCTAAATCTCAGGTCCATCACCTGAACTCTCCGCAGTTTTTAGCCCTTGTTGAAAGCCAGGAGGGTATTGATGGGATTTGCCTTAAGAAGCACCAATTACAGGGAGCTCTGCTTTTCCCAGAAAGGCTCGGTGCCTTTTACAGCCGGGATAGGACTCAATCACTCCCCTGCTTTTGAAATGCAGCCACCACTTAAGAGCACACAACAGGAAGCAAATCGCCTTGTATCTGATCGTAACTACCTGGGGAATGCAGGCAGGCAGGGCAAAGGAGCTCCGATCTGGCCCCGGGGCACCGAGGTGAGGAGTTTGTCTCTTGAGAAAGTCGCAGCCGGTCTCTTAATGACTCCACGAAATTAGGGCACTGGGTTTAACATCTCCTACCCCCTAAGTTAAGGCAGCGGGTTCAAGATTGACGCAGATGGAGCCGTGCCATCGTGTGAGTCACGTCCTGCCACCTCCCAAGCCACGGGACATGTCCTGCCTTCGCCGAGCATCCCCCAAACCGGGCTCCCAAAAACCTCCCCGGGTCGTGGCCGGAGGCGGTGTGGCTGCAGGAATGGAGAAGGAGCGCATGGAGATGGAGATAAGCAGAAGGAAAGCATGCACTTGTAATGGAAATGAGGGGTTATTAAGGTGCCATATAAAAATGCAAGAGATTTGGCGAAGATAGCAGGAAAGTGCCGTGTGTTTGTCGGGTGGCCTCGTTCCTCTCTGGGTGGTTCTGGTGGCAGGAGGCAGCAGCTGGTTGGGGCTTGAGGAGAGCTTCTGGAAAGTCACCTGTCAGGAGGAGGTTTGCAGGGACCAATTTCTCACAGGGATGTTGACTTCAGAGCATTTTAAGCACCTTCTTTTGGTCACCAAAGCTCTGGCTTCAGCTCGCTTTATTCCTGCCTGCTCCTGCATTTCCCCTGGTGCTTCTCCAAAATTCCCTCTCCATTCTGGGGGACTGAGTAGCA